AATGGCTGAGAAGATGCATGCTTGGGATTTCACCATCTCTGCCATGCATGGAGATATGGACCAAAGGAATGAAACGTGATCATGAGGGAGTTTTGTTCTGGCTCTCACAGAGTGTTGACTACCACTGACCTGCAGCCAGAGGCACTTACGTGCAGCTGGTTTGTTTAGTTATCAACTATAACCTTCCCACCAATAGGAAAAACTATATCCACAGAATCAGTCAAGGTGGACGGTTTGACTGTAAGGGTGTGGCTATTAACATGGTGACAGAAGAAGACAAGAGTACTCTTTAATAAATTGAGACCTTGCCGGGCGCGGTGGCTCAAGCCTGTAATCCCAGCACTTTGGGAGGCCGAGGCGGGTGGATCATGAGGTCAAGAGATCGAGACCATCCTGGTCAACATGGTGAAACCCCATCTCTACTAAAAATACAAAAAAAAGGCGGGGCACGGTGGCTCAAGCCTGTAATCCCAGCACTGTGGGAGGCTGAGGCGGGTGGATCACGAGGTCAAGAGATCGAGACCATCCTGGTCGACATGGTGAAACCCCGTCTCTACTAAAAATACAAAAAATTAGCTGGGCATGGTGGCGCGTGCCTGTAATCCCAGCTACTCAGGAGGCTGAGGCAGGAGAATTGCCTGATCCCAGGAGGCAGAGGTTGCGGTGAGCCGAGATCGCGCCATTGCACTCCAGCCTGGGTAACATGAGTGAAACTCCGTCTCAAAAAATAAATAAATAAAATAAATAAATAAATAAATAAATTGAGACCTTCTACAAGACCTTCATTGAGGAGATGGCCCTCAATGTTGTTGACCTCATGTGAGCAGCTATACTGCTACCTAGCACCAGCCAGGATTCAATATTGGAAAACTGAGGAACAGCAGGAGGGAGAAGGAAAGGGAGCCAAGGGATGGACATCTTGCCACTTTCTTTCTTTGAATAAATGTCACCTTTTGAGGCAAAGAAAAAAACAGGTAAAAGATCTGAAGAGGTCTTTCTCAAAAGAAGACATACGAATGGCAAACAGATATATGAAAAGGTGCTCAATATTACCGATCGTCAGAGAAAGGCAAATGAAAACTACAATGTGATATAATCTCATCACAGTTGAAATCCAAAAGACAGTCAATAACAAATGCTGGAGAGGATGTGGAGAAAAGGGGCCCTTGTATGCTGTTGGTAGGAATGTAAATTAGTATAGCCACTGTAGAGGTTCCTCAAAAAACTAAAAATAGAGCTGCCATGTGATCCATCAATTATACTGTTAGGTATATACCCAAAAGAAAGGAAATGAGTACATCGAAAAGATATCTGCACTCCCATGTTTATTGCAGCACCATTCACAATAGCCAGGATTAGGAAACAACCTTTATCCATTTGTTAAGAGATTAATGGATAAAGAATATGTGGTACATATACACAGTGGAGTAGTATTCAGCCTTAAAAAAAAAAAAAGAGTCCTGTCATCTGCAACAGCATGGATGGAACTTGAGGACATTATGTTAAGCAAAATAAACCAGGCACAGAAGGACAAACTTTCTATTGTCTCATGCATTTGTGGGAGCCAAAAACCAAAACAACTGAATTCAGGTAACAGAGAATAAGATGATATAAGTTACCAGAGGCTGGAAAGAAGGTGCGGGGGAGGTAAAAGCAGGTTGGCATGGTTAATGGGTACAAAACATAGAAGGAATAAATAAGATCTAGTCTTTGATAGTACAACAGGGTGGCTACAGTCAACAATAATCTACTGTATATTTTTAAATAACTAAAGTATAATTGGAATGTTTGTAACACAAATAAATGATAAATGCCTGAGATGAATACCCCATTAACTCTGATGTGATTATTACACACTGTATGCCTATATCAAAATATCTCATGTACTCCATAAATATATTAATATATATCTACTAGGTACCTGTAAAAAATAAAAATTAAAAAGGAGTCTTTACAAAAGACAAATATCCCAAAATCAAAGTGGATGAAGTATATAGTTAGCAAGATAAGAAAATCAAATGGCCGCTAAAGAGAAAAATGCAAAAATAAAAATAAATAAATAAAAATAATTCAAGGAGAGGTGTAAAATAAAAAAAAAATTTTTTTAAAGAAAAATGAAAAATAAAAAAGGCGTCACTTTTAGCCATTAGATTGGCAAAGATTGAAAAAGCCATTTCCCCAGACCCTTAACAAATCTTAGTTTTGGGCCGGGCATGGTGATTCTCATGCCTGTAATCCTAGCATTTAAGGAGGCTGAGGTTGGCAGATTGCTTCAGCTCAAGAGTTCAAGACCAGCCTGGGCAACATGGCAAAACCCCATCTCTGCCAAAAATACAAAAATTAGCTAGGCATGGTGGTGGTACGCTGTGGTCCCAGTTACTTGGTGAGGCTAAGGTGGGAGGATCACTTGAGCCCAAGAGGCAGAGGTTGCAGTGAGCCAAGACTGTGCCACTGCACTTCAATCTAGGCAACAGTGAGGCCCTGTCTCAAAAAATATACATAGTTTTGCAAATTTGGTACTATCAATGAGAACATAAATGTGTATGAATCTTCTTAGTGCATTTTGGCAATCTTCATGAACATGTAATTTGGCTTCTAGAAATTCACCCAAAGAGGTAATTATAAAAGGGCAAAAAGATGAAAGCACAAAGATATTCACTAAAGCAGGATTTATTAAAGAAATCATTGGAAGCAACTTACATGCCACCAATAGGCTTGATTAAATAAACAAAGGTCATTAAGGATAATGCAGGTTTATTACAGAAAGATGTTAACATTGCTAGGGAGAGAAATGTAGGTTATAAAGCAGCATATATAGTCTTATCTCATTTATATGAAGTTCAAAATTTCACATAAATGTATATATTTACAAAGAGATTTCAGAAAAAAAGATTTTGAAAGGATATTTAGCAAAATGTATATAGTGATTATCTCAAGTAGAGGTAGATTTGGGAAAATTTCCTTTAAACATGATCACATACGTGTTTATCTTCATATTTACTTTCTACAGTGATCAGCTGAGGGCTTTTATCTCAGAATTATTTTTATAACTTTTTCAGCATTTTTTTGTCCTTTTTTTTCTTTGAGATGAGTCTTACTCTGTCACCGAGGCTGGAGTGCAACGGTGTGATCTCAGCTCACTGCAACCTCCGCCACCCAGGTTCAAGCGATTTTCCTGCCTCAGCCTCCTGAGTAGCTGGGATTAAAGGCATGTACCACCATGCCCAGCTAATTTTTGTATTTTTAATAGAGAGACAGGTTTCACCATATTGGCCAGGCTGGTCTTGAACTCCTGATTTCATGATCCGCACACCTCAGCCTCCCAAAGTTCTGGCATTACAGGCATAAACCACAGTGCCCGGCCATTTTTTCATAACTATCACTCTTAGAAAAATATTTTATACATGTCATTTTACAGAGTATGTTACCTACACCACAATGTAGTGAACACATTCACTCACTGAAAAAAAAAACTACCCTGATGCATCAAATAACTAGCATCACTAGAAAAATATTTCATACATGTATCTTTACATAGTATAATATATGCACCACAGTGTGATGAACATACTCTTTCACTGAAACAATCAGCATGATGTTTCTGATTACTATAAGCTTAATTTTTTAACTTACAAATTTTTGGGAATTAGCAAAAGAATACTAAGAACAAATAACAGCCCTCTATATTAAGTAACTTATTTTACGGGTTATAAAGAGAGTGAGACTTAGAGAAGTATAATTGACAAAGAAACCTAATAAACTGGACATAAAAGGAAGCCACTTGCCTTCCTCAGGTTAAGCTATAATTTGATTCCTGTACAAGGCACAGGAAGGACAAGTATTTTCGCTCCATCTTTTTTGTGCTGAGTAATATTACACAATAATAAGTATCAAAAAGCCATTTTTCTGAAATGAAACATATCCTTGAAACATATCTACAGAATGTAACACAAACAAAATCTTTAACCCAAAACTTTATTTATTTATTGACTGATTGATTGATTGATTGAGACGGAGTTTCGCTCTTGTCACCCAGGCTGGAGTGCAGTGGCTCACTGCAACCCTCCTGGGTTCAAGTGATTCTCCTGCCTCAGCCTTCCCAAGTAGCTGGGATTACAGGTGCCTGCTACCATACCATGCCCAGCTAATTTTTGTATTTTTGGTAGAGACGGGGTTTTACCATGTTGGCCAAGCTGGTCTCAAACTCCTGATCTCAGGTGATCAGCCCGCCTCAGCCTCCCAAAGTGTTGGGATTACAGGCATGAGTCATCTCGCCCGGACTCAAAACATTCTTCTGTATAAATCTAGGAACACACCCAGAGTAAATAGCTCCAGAAAAGTTCCCTAGATTCTGCAGAAATGACAAACTCTATACAAAGCAATATATTTTCATGCCCTCATAAATTATCAAATGCGCCTCCCCAAAATAAGGGAAGCAGGGTCATACGGAGAGTCTTGTGCTAGTTTGCCCTCCACTTCCTTTGTGGGATTTTGTTTATTTTTATTTTTATTTTTGCCCTCCACTTCCAAACAGGCTAAGTCACTCAAGATATAGAAGTGGATTAAGATCATTGTGTAAGATGCCATTCTTTAGCCACTAGGTTTCCCAGGTTTGGGGTTTATAAGATCTATAAAACCATAGGGCTATGGAATGCAAATAAAATCTGACCCTAAATAATCTTTTCCTTTACCATTGCTGACATTCCTCAAAAACCTAGATCTTTTCTTTCAAAATAAAGAAAATTAGCAGGAGGCTCATCCATAACAGACTCCCAGGGTCTCACTGTCAATAAAATCGGTGCCATGAAACAATCAGTGTGCTTCAGGGGAAAAGTCCCTAAGTGGAAACACAATACACAAAAGGATGATCGACACTAAAATGTTTTCCTAATTGGGGGAAAAAATCAACACCTATTTCAAGAGTTAAAAGTCTGCCTTTTATTGAACTGTCATCCTACCTCTCCAACAGACAGGCAGTGAAGACATTTTAAGAGCATTACCTTTAGGAGGAAAATACGACTTGCTTTCAGCTTTGTGAGGCCAGTCTACTACGAGAGGTCCAAACCTGCGAAAGCTGGCAGTGATCTCGTCTACAAAACAAAGAAATAATCTTAGCAAAAGAGAAAAAATAATTGCAATCAGAAGAGCACAAATCATGTCTTTTTAGTTTAAAAAATGTTTTGAGGGTTATTTTCTAAAGCATTTTTACAGAAGTGAAACCTACTAAGTGAAATACCATTGCTTGAGTATACATTTGGTTATTCACTTTTAACCATGCAAAGCATGTTTCTAACTATAAATCATCTCCTTTCACTGCCAATAAACTTGACATAAAGAATTTGGAAGAAAAATATCTCATACTAACTAAGGTGACTTCTATGTCAAATAGAAAGATTCTAATAATAGGAATGTTCTCTGATTTTAGAAGAAAAGGTACAGAAAATATTTAAAATATGGTTTCACTT